GAGATTTCCAGGGAAGCAATGCTGAAAGGAAAAGCAGTGATCAAGGTAGGGAGACTAGATGAGCAGAAGGAGTTGATTTTTCAGAGGCCTCATGGGAGCTAGGCAGCCAAGGACCATGCAGAACTAATGCTCAGCAGAATCCTTGGCTTGCTTGCCTGTCGTGTTCTGTGGAGTATAGGGATTCTACAGGTTGTCTAGCAACAAAGCTCCCCAGTTCCTAATGCATGGCATATTTGCTTTTAATGTTAAGCTAAATTACAAAAAAGAACTCTATAAGCTAGAACTAAGTCTGGCAAGTTATGTAGTAGTAACTTATGGTGGGGGTAGGGAAGCAAAGGAACCTTACAAAATGTTGCATTTACCAATGATCAAGCAAACCAACAAAAACAACTGGAAACACAAGTAATTCAGAACTACGATTTGAAGCAACTTATTTTTGTTGTGTAAAAATAAACAATAAAAAAACCCCAAAGAAACCATGTTTACTTAATATATCCTGCCATCCCCCTGACCCCTCCCACCTCTCCCTCCCAGGACTAGCTATATTCATATCGCTGCTTTGACTGGTTTACTGCAGCTACTAAAATAGAGCATAACAAACTCAATTAGAGGGCTCAAGAATTATTCAAAGGAATAACAGTTTATTCCTATATTCCTGAAAGTTTTGGAATGCACGGTTAAGTAGATACAAACCAGCTTCAGCTGTACTACTAGTTCTGTACTAATGCCCTAACAAAAAAAAAACCCCAAAAAGCACACTTATTCTTAAAACACCCTTCTCTATCTATAAAAGGTTCATTCTATCAAGAAGTGCAAAAACCTAGAACACAATATTCTGTTAGCCATATTTCTAGGAAGTCTAGTTTTCTAAACCTGATGATTAAGTATTTCAGTATACTCACAGGGAGTTTTATATAATGTGGTTTATGTTGCAGTTAGTGAGAATTTACCAAGACGACACCATGACCCAACAAAAAAATGTTTGGACCCTACACTACAAGGCTGGGGACATGCATTCAAAAAGCCTGAGCCTGAATTGATTCAATCTTTTGCAGGTTAATCTAACCTGGCTAGGCTGAACCAGTTTGTAACTGGACAGTCATTGTCTCTGGACTGAGGAAATTCAGGTGCATGCCTGCAGTGGCTCAGGCTAGAAGCTGGGGGACACGAGAGCAGCCCTCCCTTCCCTTGTGCAGAACTGAGCTGAGGGGGGTGTGGCCAGGCCCCCACAGGACCTCTGATTAGGGAGGTCTGCCTGCACAGTCCCAAGCTTTTCCCCACTGGTTGCTCAAGGGGTGGGAGAGTTACCAGACCCTAGCCCCCTGCTAGCACTCTGAGGCAAGTGGGGGGGGGCCATGCAGTGCATGTATCTGTTGATGATACAGAGCTTTTCAATCTCCATCTCCCTACTACTTTATACTGTCTGCAGCAAACTGACAGGCAAGCAAGCCAGCAGGAGGCTGGTAGCAGTGATTATCATCTCATCAGCAAAAGATAGGCTCTCTCCATTACTCCAAACTGTTAAAAAGCTTACCCGCTGATCTGTTGATTAGCTCCAGATAGCTCTAAGCAGTCACTGTGCTGTGTCTCTCTCCAGTTTCACTGGGACAGGAAGACACACTCAGACACCTCTCAGCATTAGCTAGCATACCACATGCCTAGGGGCTGTGGGGCTGGAGTCGGTGCTGTAGGAGATGGGAGGGAGGGGGACTCTCTGCTTAAGCAGTGGGGGGGGGCATGGGGAATCCAGGCAGACCCTGCTGTGTCTGCAAGTCTCTGCCAAGCTCCAGCCAGGGAGCAGAGGGGAGGGGCCAGCTCTGCTGTGGAACAGAGAACCCCGCCCAGCCCAGACAGCATGCCAGGATGCTGGGCGTGTCTGGTTTATCTTAAACCAGCAAGGGGTCTGGGACAGGCATTGCATAAACTGGTTTGAGCCAAATCAGTTAAGTCTGACACTACATTCAACCAGGTTTCTCTCAAAACAGTTTCATCCATTTTCATACTGGTTTATGTGTGCTGAACATCTGTTCTGTTACAGGTTTACACCAGTTTCTGATCGCTTAAACTGGTTTATGTGTAATGTCTGTCCCTAGCCCAATGGTCAAAAGTGAGGAAAAGCATGTCAAACACTAAGCATCTGACCTTACTCAATGTTAAGTTGCCAGCTCTAACTTTTTCAGTTTTAGCAGATAAATTTCAACAATGGCACATAGAGGAAATATTTCATTCCAGATCTGTAATGGGCCATTACATTTCTGTACTTTTCCTCCATACAGTGATGGTGATCCACAATAGCAAAAGAAGCAAATAAATGACTAGTTGGGTACAAGTGTTTGTATACAATTGCATTGTAAATTCATGGAAGAGAAGGCTAGTTTCAGGAAAACAAATTACACCCATTTAGTAAGCAGGCCCACAGTCAGAGTGTTAAATAAGATCTGTGAAAATACCACAGTGCATAGGACAGAAACAAATCTGTCTCCTTGTCTCTTCAGAGGAATTTAGATCTGAAAAAAATTTACAAATAGAAAACAAGAATTATTTGTGATATTAGGTAATTTACAGCTAAAGTTCTTCCAAAAATTCTGAAAGTAGTCTATTGGTCATCTTCCATGGACAGATAATGGAACCACCTTTTGCAGAATATTTTCTTGGTTTTGTGTCACTCCAAGAAGAACAAAGAGGATGGAAACAAGTTCTTCTTTGTGGCTCTAGGGTACAGACAGGCCAAAGGGCAACATTCTCAAACTGCAGAAGAAAAAAGTTAGGCTGGAGATTAAATGGAAGACCTTTCTGACTGTGAGGGTGGTTAAGTACTGGAGCAGGCTACCTAGAGAACACCATGCCTGGAAATTTTTGTGGGCAGTTTACACGGACACTTGGCTGGGATGGTTTTTCAGACCTGGCACTGGCCTTTTACAATATCAACCCCAGCACAAAGACAGAGTCCCTATGGTTGCCACCAACAGCCCCTGGCTTGAACATCTTAGACACATCATTAATGACTTCCAACCCTTCCTAGAAACAGATAACTATCTCAAAGTATTCATGGGGGACAAATCTGTTCTGGCTAACAAGCAGCTCCTCAATCTCAAATGGCATCTCTCAAGCAACGGGCTCTAACTCCTAGTCTCACCAAGGCAATGGACTCAGATGCCTTCTGTGCCCTAAAATCAATACAGACCACATCATCACTGGACTGAATAACACTGGCTATAACATCTGAGGTTCATTCACTTGCCACTCCACCAATTTACACCCTCATCTGCTTACAATGTCCCTGTACTGCCTACTGGACGGACTGGCCAATTGCTACAAAATGAACGAACACCACTTTCACATCAGCTGCAGAAAGACATGCAAACGTGTGGCAGAACTCTTCAACCTCCCTGGACACTCCCTTGCTGACCTAAAGGTGGTTGTTCTCAAAGACCAAACCTTTAAAACCTGATTTGAATAGGAAATTGTGGAACAAGAAATCATCCACAGACTGGATTGTTAAATGTGGTTTAAACAGGAACTATAGATTCTTATCCCGTAACCTGGATTAGCTTTTGTGACTCTTTTGTTCCTATGAGTTTACTGCTTGTTTGTTTATTTCTTCCAGTACTGCCCCATCTCCCCACTTTTCTCTCCCTCTCTTCTCTCTCCTTCCCTTCTCTTTTGTATTTTGATTTCTGTCTCCTTCTTATAGTCTGCTTTCTACACATCCTTTCACAGCATCTGATGAAGTAGCTTCAGCTCACAAAAGCTTATGCTATATATATATATATATTTAGTTAATCTATAGCAAGGGTTCTCAACCAGAGGTACTTGGAAAGGCCCTCGGTACACACAGATGGGTGGGGAGGGAACATCAGCACCCATCATCCCACACTGCTACCTCCCAGAAGCCATGCTGGGGCAGGGCAAGGGCAGCAACAACCCTTTCTGGGCTACACAGGCATTGCCTGGCTGGCTGGATGCGGGGGTGGGGGTAGGGAGAAGCTACCTACCACTCTGTGCTGCCGCCCCTCTGTGTGCGGCCACTGCCAACCCCCGCCGCCGGCTCCACGTCCGGCCACGGTCCACCCCCCCACACACACTCCACATCCAGCCACCAGGGGTACGCTTATTGAAAACCCCTGGTCTATAAGGTGAAAAATCTACACTGACTTGGGGAGAGAGCCCCCACATCCTTCCAACCCCCCCCCCC